CTCCCAGCTTGGTGCCCACCTCGGTGCGGTTGGGGCCGGGCAGGGCACCGGGGAGGTCAGGGTCCTGCCGCCTGGCCAGCTGGATGACGCTGTGTCCCGAGCCGAACTTGGCCGCCCCTGCTGCCGCCTCCTCCATCTTCCTGGCCTTCAGGTAGTCCCCCACCTTGTCCCCAGGGTCCCCCAGTTTCCTCTTGGAGGCATCCAGAGTCTCCGCCAGGTCCTTGTAAAGCTCCTTCCTGGGCTTTGGGCCTCTCTTTTTGGGGGTCTACCCAGGCTTCTTTTTGGGGGTCTCCCCAGGCTTCTCCTCCACGCGGATCACCCGGTCACGGATGCTGTCTCCCTTGGGGGTGCTGGTGCTGGAGCTGCCCTGGGGAGCCAGGGCTATGTTTCTCAGTCCTTCCCTAGCCCGGGACGTGGAGCCCAGCTCCTGGGGGGACCTGCCGGGATAGGGCACCCGGATCCCCCTGGAAGTGTCACTGCGGAATTCATAGGTTTTGGCTTTTGCTTTTGCCTGGGCCTGCAAAGAAGATAAATCAACTGGTGACTTTATTATCCTGCCATCCAGCTGCATAATTACAACTCACAAGACAAGAGGCCGCCTTTGCAAGGAGCATCCTCTGTGGGGGCCGGACGGGGACCCGCTCCCCACTGCGGCACGCAGCCCTGGCCGGCACCGGCATGCACAGGGCTCCGGCCTCCTTACCTTTAGCAGGAAGGTTTTGGGCTTGGGGCCTCGTTTTTTGGGCCCATATAGCTCCATTTCTCGCTCCCTAGAGGTGTTAAAAAAAACAAAGCTTCAATTCAGCATAGCTACAAGACAGCAACATATTTACAAGCACAACAGCTATGGCTAGCAAAGGCCTTGTACCTTTCCTCAAAGGCTGCAAGCAGCCGGGCATCCAGGATGTTTTCCTCAGGTTCCCAAGTGCTGTACCTGGGTGGGGGACAGAGAGAGGGAACGGCATGAGGAGCCCGAAACAGAAAATACGAATAAAATAAAAAATAGGGGGCATAAAGGAAGGGCCCCAAGTTTCCTTTCCACTACAATGGGAGAGCGGGGCTGCAGCCAGCCGGCTCCCCGCGGCTCCCCCGCTGCGGGGCCCTACGGACAAACGGCCGACTTACTTCTGAGACCAGCCCTTCCATTTCACGAGATATTCCATGCGCCCCTGCAGATGCGAAGAGAAAAATAAATAGGCACGGAGGGAAACCGCGATAGACGCCCGCAACAAAGATACACCCGCAATTCCACGCATGTAGCAAACACGCGCCCGCGGCGCGTGTCAAAAACACGCGGGGGGGGAGGAGAGGGAACTGGGGAGGGGGGATGCAACCAAAAAA